ATATATGAAACATTTGTCATGGAGTTGTAGAGGGAGTTATGTGCCTCGCCGGGCTAAAGTAGTGGATGACCTTGCTGTACGGCAAGTTAAACAAGGATCTGAAACTACTAGGTTCCGTACAGACTCAACTCTGCACCCGTGTCAATATGTTCATTATATGCAAGCCTCTTGATTTATAATCACCGAGTCTAGTAATTGTTTAAGAGAGTTCTCTGGCAGTTACGAAACTCGAGAGACTGTGGGATACTGAAGGGAAAGGAAGCAGTTCTAACGAGCTCTTCTCAAACACAAGGATATATCTTGTGAACTCGGCTAGTATATATGAAACATTTGTCATGGAGTTGTAGAGGGAGTTATGTGCCTCGCCGGGCTAAAGTAGTGGACGACCTTGCTGTACGGCAAGTTAAACAAGGATCTGAAACTACTAGGTTCCGTACAGACTCAACTCTGCACCCGTGTCAATATGTTCATTATATGCAAGCCTCTTGATTTATAATGTGAACAAAACAAAACCGTGATAATGATATACCGCAAACCTTGATTTACTGCGGTTGTTTCCTTTCCCAAACTCCGCGGTGAATCTGTAATTAATATTAGGCCAGTAATTGTCACAAGGTAGCCTCGATTCATTTAATTTCGGTATTTTCATATATGCATATTTTCGTTAATGTATATTTTATTTGGTTCCCCAGGCGCTAATTGTGTTCAAATCGTCCAACATATTTTGTTAGGAGGGGGCTTGTCGTCAAACTGGGTGACACTCACGTTACTTCTGACCAAGAATTATAATAATTGATAATGTATAAATATTGATAATGTATAAATTATCCTCGCTCTTGTGTAAGTTGAGTAGCAGCAAGTATGACCTGTTCGGCGTCTACCGCTGTTAACTGTTCTGTACCGTTCTGTACCGTTCTGTACCGTTCTGTACCGTTCTGTTTACATCCTAATATGGTCACACTTTGGTCATGTCACTGATGACAGGACTATGACTGAACTCGGGCGACGGGAGAATCCGCTGACGCATGACAGCAATTTAAAAGCTGTCAAATGTTGCACGGAGTAAACAGGCATTACGTCAAAGTAACGCCCATTTCCGTTCGTAAACCTTAGCGGGGTTGTTGACTGCTTGACTTCATCAACGAAATCTTTATCACATGTAATGTTTCAGGAAATTCAGATATTTCTATAAAAAGAGCTCGTGATAATTTTTAAATAAATAAGCCACCTGGCAGCAGGCAGATGTTTCCAGTATTAATCAATTATGAATTATTAAATACTCTAATATGCAAGTGTTCCACTGTGCAAGAGTGGGACACAAATGGTACTCAACATCAATATCGCGGAGCACGCCAAGTATAATCCTTCATTGACAGTAGCGCAACACCTGCGCGCGTTATGTGCGCGCGGCGCGATTGATCAATTTAATTTAATCAGTTCCCCCGGCCGTATAGCTTGTAGTCCATAGTCCGTGATATGGGTATCAGCATTCAGTAATAGACTTTATTCTCCAGTCTGCTGATAGTCATGCCATTTCATTTCAGGGTACATATTTGGCTAGATTACCCCGGCGGTCTCAACCAGGACATCAACGGATGGTCTGTAGCGCAACTTGGGCGAGCGAGGACAACGCGGCTAATCTCTTCACATGTGGATTTGATAACAGGTTTCATTTTATCATCGATCATCGACAGTTTATAATCTTCAAAAATGTGTTATTCGTTAAATAGAATTAACTAGATATTATCCTCCAAATACACAAATGTGCGATGGAGTTAACTTAGAATGTCCGAATTCTAAGTTTCCGGCCTGTGATCCCAATCCAATTAACAATTCAATTTCCAAATTTTCACAATTTCTTTGGACAAATTGGGCCCGGGAAAAATTCCAAAGGTTGAACCCCGATAGGTCCCCCAGGGTGTTAAACAGTAGGGGGGCTTTCCCTTTGGGGCGGTTTTTAAAAGGGGACCCCAAAAACCCAAAACCCCTTTAAAAATCAAGGGGGTGGCAAACAAAAGGGGGCGATTGGGTTTCATGTGGTTTAAAATTTTCTTTTTTTTTACGAAAAAAGGGAAAAAAAATTTAAAATTTTTTGTTATTTTTGCATTTTTCCCCGGGCAATTGATCTCCGGACTTTAATTTTGAGTAAAATAAAAAACCTTTTTTCTCTGTAGTTACCGGGGGGTTGGGGGGGAAAAACCTTTGGGGAAAATTTTTTAAAAGGGGGCCCGGGGAAAGGGTAAAATGTCCCAAAAGAGTTTTTTAAAAAAAGTGGGTTTTTGGGGTTTTTTTATTTTTTCGTTAAACCCTTTAAAAAAGGGGCCCGGGTGGGTTTTTAGGGGGGGGAAATTTTGGGAAGGGGGGGAATTTAAAAGATGGTTACTTTTTTGGGGGCGATTTTTAAAGGAATTTTAGAAACAAAAATTTGCTATTTTTGGTGTAATTTTCCCGGGGAAATTTGGGGGAAATTTTGGTAATTATTTTTGGGGTTTGTGGTTAAAAAGGGGGGGAAATAAGGGGGTAAAAAAATCCAAAAAAAATTTTTTTAGGGGTTTATCTAAAACAAAAAAATTAAGGGTTTTTAAAAAAAAAATTTGGGTTTAAAAAAACAAATTTCAAAACCCCTTTTTGAGAAAAACCTATTTTTTAAATCCCTCAAACCCGGGCCCTATAATTTTGTTATTTGTATCGATTGGGAGTAATTTTTTAAGGGTTTCCCTGGGTTTTTCTTCATTTTTTGTGATTTTTTTAGATTTTTTTTACCCCTTTTTGCTTTTTTTTTTGTATTGATAAAAAAAGAATTTTTGGGGCTTTTGTTTTATTTTTTAAAGATGGGGTGGGGGGGGGACGTTAAAAGGGGTTGGGGAGTTTTTCCCCAACCCTTTTTTGATTTTTTGGGGAACTTCCCCAAACTGGGAAAAAATTTTTTGGGTTTAAACAAATGATTTTAAAAAGGGTTGGGGCTGGTTTGGGGAATGGGGAAAAAATTGATGAGGGAAAAATAATTTTTTTTCTTTAGATACATTAGGGTGAAAAGGGGGCTGTGTTAATTAGGGGGAAAAACCCAAAAACCCTTTAAATAGTTGGGGTGGAAGGGTTGGGCCAAAACCATCCGAAAATAAAAAAAATGGGGGAAAATTTCCCCCAAAATTTTTTTTCCCTAATTTTATTTTTGTTTAATCGGTTTGGATGCTAAAATTCAATTTTGGGGAATTGGGGGGACCCCAAAAAATTTATTTTAAACCCGATTTTGGGTTTTTTTTTTCATTTGCTCGGGGGATCTTTGTTGGGTTTAAAAACCCCCGCAACCAATTAATTTTTAAAATAGGGGCCTTTTCCCCCTCTTTTTTAACTGAGTTGAAGTTTAAAAATATGATTTGAAATTTTAAATTTTTAAGGGCCCAAAGGGCTTTTCCCCCTTTTTTGTTTTAATTTGAATTTTTCCAAAAAAAATTTTTTTAAAGTAATTTATTTTGTTTTGATTTTTTTGAAAACGATTGTAAAAAAGTTTTTTTTAATTTTTTCCCCAGGGGGTTTTTAGGATCCTACCCAAAAATTAACCAAAAAATTGCTCCCCTTTTTTGGTTCCCCCCGAGGGAAACATAAAAAAAATTAATATAAAAACCCTATAAAATAATTAATTTTTAAATTTTTCCCCCTTTAAGGAAAAAAATTTTTTTTGTTTTTAAAGGGGGGCCCGGGGGGGCATTTTTTTAAAAAACTTAAGCCAGGGGGCACATTTAAAACAGGGGGTTGTGGGGGTTATTTGATGTCGGGGGGCCATTTTTTTCTCTTAAAAAATCATTTTTTTGGGCCCTTTTTTCTCTTAAATTTTAGGGTGGTCCCCGAATTTTCAAAAACCCCCCCCCCCTCCCCTGCCACTGGGGGGGGTCCGGATTTCCGTATTTTAAGAGTACAAATAAAACCAACTCAAAAATTTTTTTGTTAATAAAAATTTTGTTTGTTTTATTTTAAAATAGGAAATAAAAAAAATTTCTTCGAACAAGTTTAGCACAGTTAAATTTAAAATACTCTTCAAAATACCCGGGGATCTAAAAAAACAGGAGTAATTAGTGTCAAAGAGTTGAAATTTTTAAATGGGACTTTTTTTTTGTAATTTTGCCAAAATTTTTCCGGATTTTCAGAAAAAACACCCCCCTCCCCCCCGGTCCGGACTTGTCCGAAAAAAATCAAAAACCCCCCCCCTCCCCCATTTTTGGGGGGGGGGGACGTCCTAAGTAGTGGGGGGCCCTTTTCAGATAAAATAGTCTATTGATTAAATTATAATACCATTAGGGGTGTTAATAACAATCCGCCCAAAAGGGGGGTTTCAAAAAATTTTTTAAAATTTTTTACGATTTTCAAAAATTTTAAAAAAGGGGGGGGCCCAAAATTTTTTTTGTTTAAAACATTAATCAAAATTTTCTTTTTTAAAAAAATTTTGTTTATAATGTTTTCATTTTTCTTAAAGGGGGTTTTATTTTTTTAGGGGGGTTCCCCAAAAATTTTTGGGGGTTAAATTTGGGGGGGGGGGGGGGGGGGGGGGGGGTTTGGGGGGGGGGGGTTTTTTTGGTTTTTTGATTTTTGGTTTTGAAAAAAACGGGGGGTTGGGAAAAAAATTTTAAAAATTTTTTTGATTTACCCTTTTAATAGTTTGGCCCCCTTTAACAGTTTTTAAATTTTTTTTTTTGGTTTTAAAAACCATGCAGACTGCAAAAGTGTAAAATTAACTTTAAAAAATAATAATAATTCAAAATTATTTGAATATACAATGCATAAGTCGCATACAACTACAAGTTCTCCTCAACTATCCTCAAAAAATAACAACTTTTATAAAAGGTTAAACAAAACAAAATCGTTAAAAATGTTAGATCTAGAGCAGTACCTAATCGTTTGTACGTTCATAGACATAACCTACCACTACCAGGACGCGCGCCGAGTTGGACTCGTCGACGGTCCTGATAATATTTGAAACAAATATTTTACGAGTATCACCGTTAACCTAATCGTGAACTAGCAAATTCAAAAAAGTTAAAACAAACGTCATGAGAGTGAGACATGAGCTTGAAATTCACGATGTCAATCCTTCACAGTGGTGAATCTCGCCGATCTTGTGAGAAGCATTGTTGGCTGGGCGGCCCAGTAATTCATTGCGCAACAAGACATGAGCGCAGCACGTCTAATTTTTGTTTATAACCGTTACTGTAACTATAGAATCCTCAGTTTCATTGTTTTTATGCATTATGTGTAAGGTGCTTAATCGATATTGTACTTGTAGGTTTATAACCAGGACGCGCGCCGAGTTAAGGACTCGTCGACGAGTATCACCCGTTAAAATCGATAAGAATAGAATTCAACTTAATGTCAGAGTCCGCAGAAGTGGAGTCTGAGTCCGCGGAGATGGAGTTTAGGTCCACGGAGGTGGAGTCAGTTAATTGAGAGTCCAATTTATCTGAACTATCTGATCTATAGACCTTTGAGATCTCGACGAGCACGTCGGATGCTAAGCGCGGAAGCTTTTGTGGTGCTATTAGGTAGGTCGCTACCTCGAACAGGTCTATGAACGGCATGTATCTATCACTGAAAATAAATGAATGATAAGCATTATATAATTGTCCAACGTTCCGTCCTCGACTAATTTTCGCGGCCCAGAACGGGACACCACGTCACACGTGCTGCTCACGTGTCAAGCCACGCAATGTCTGGCTGCTGGCAATTATTCGATTATAAAATACATTGGACTATGACTTCCAAAAATTGTGTGGTAAATCATGATCACTTCTATTAAGAATAATAAGAACCTTAAATCTAAAAATAATTCCTCGATCTCATCCACCATTACCAAGGTTGTGTATATATGATGTGGCTATAGTTAAGGTTTAAAAATAAAGGTTGTGTAAATATGATGTGGCTAGTAACCTGACAGTTGAGCGGAGATAATTATAGCCCCCGCTTCCTCCGGTTCCTGGTCGTCCTCCGATCATCCTTTTAACCATCATGGCGTGTCCAACTGTGAAACATTCGCATTATTATTAGCAATAATTTCTGAACAATATTGTATTAATATCTGTGAGTATAATGATAGATACGTTGGTTTAGTAACCTGATACATAGAATAAAAGCTCATAATTTCGAATCTGGTCGGAACTCAGAATACTTACATCTAAATTTCGTCAAGAATGTGTCCATATCCATGAGGTTCTTGATGATTTCGTAAGGGACAGTAAATCTAGGCTCTGAAGAATAGCAGTTGATCATAAGGGCTCCCATGAAAGCGCGGTAAGACAGCTTTCTCCCGTGGATTCGACCACCATTCTGCAAGAAATATAATATAATAATATATGTACAGTTACACGTTATTCAAAGATAGAATAACACGATCACAAATCATTTGTTACAAGCCCTGGCTAGAAGTAGAAACTTAATTTTATTGCATTCACTGAAAGTAAAAAATCTGTCGTTTTTCCTAATGTTACCTCATATTTTTCTTGGTCAAAGATGATGCACAATCTTTTTCTAATTGTTTCGCTTTTGACTCGAATATTCCACTTTTAGCGTGATCAATGTGTTCTAAAACCTGTCAGAAAACATGATTTAATGAGAGTTATTAATTTTTCCATATGAAAGCACTAAGCAGTTAGAAGTAACTTTATAAACTTTTTATTATACGCCTACATCATACAAAACTTGAAACTTAAAGGACCATTCTCATTATGACCACCAAAATCAGAAACAACAAACTACTTCAAATCCTTGCATTTAAAAATTTGTTTAAAACCCAGCAATAATGAAGTAAATGTAATTGTTAATTAACCTCGAAGAGCTCGAAATTTACTGTATCACAAAATACGTGTTCAATAGATGTTTTATGTTGACACTAACCTTGGCTTTAAGATAAAAATCATTGATGACACCTTCAACAGCGTTTTTGTATGAGATAAGAAAGTGTTGGAGCCCTGGAGTTCTTGACAACCATCCGTCTATCCTGAAAGTAGTCAAAATATGTCAGGATATGTCAGGATATGTCAGGATATGCCAGGATATGTCAGGATATGTCAGGATATGTCAGGATATGTCAAAATATGTTAGGATATGCCAGGATATGTCAGAATATGTCAGGATATGTCAGGATATGTCAGGATATGCCAGGATATGTCAGGATATGTCAGGATATGGTACTACTCGATTGAAAGCTGGCATATTTTTCATTTATTGTTAATAACATTTCGAATTACATTGTTATTCGAATGTAACTGGAAATGAACACTTACAAAGTACAGAGATCTTGGTCGTCCTGGTGATCTTCAATCTCCTGTCTCTGCTCCTCAGTTAACTTCTCGTTGTAGGAGTTCAGAAATGTGCATGTTCGTTGTTTCTGAATGTAAGACAATGTTTACATATTCACAAAATTATAATTCCAAGAACTTATGATCTAAGTTCTTAAATACTCCTTTGGACATTAGTCGGAATGTGGCCGGAATACACACCTCTTTGATTCCCAGAATTTGTTCAAGTAAGCGGAACTGTGTGCTTTGAAAACCGCTAGCTCCACCTTGAAATACTTCTCTAAAGGACATGAAGTTGATACAACTCATCGTTTCGAGCACCTGAGACGAAAATAATTAAGTTGTGATGAAATTAAATTTGGATAATTGGTGAATAGTAGCTATGAACAATTGGTTATTACAATTAGTCTCTAAGAATTGTACTCCCAATTACGAATAAAGACGACATCTTTTTCGATCTTAGGGACTAGGGAGCGTTCACACTTTACATATTACAACATTACGTTAGTAAGTTGTTGGCCATTCCCCCTCCTCCCCTAAATAACGTCAGTATTTGCCAGACCCCCAATCGAATTTCCTTCCCTTCGGCTGCCGAAGTAATATGTCGACGCTCCCTTATTCAGCAAATAATATTATTGAGCATCATCATATCATCGGATTCAAGGAATTTAACTACGAGATTATAAAGAAAGAAGAACATTCATTCGCATACCTCGAATTGTTGGATCATGATTCTGAAGATACAATTTACTCGAACTAGCCTTTGAAAAATGAGCTGTTGGTACTTCTCGCAGACCTAAAAATGTTGCGGTTTAAAAAAACTGTTATGTCCCAATTTGGAGCCATAATCTAAGTCAATTATTAGTCATTAACTACTTCTACATAAATTTCATGCCATTAAAATCCAAACCTTTGGTTCTTTCAGCAGCCTTTTGATGGATTCTAGTTCAAAGAGAATCTGCTGAAACCACACTTCAAAATCTGGGAAAAATTGGATTAGTCTGGAATCCAGAAGTGTCAAAAGTTGCTAGCAAAACTGGGTTTGCGAGTTGCCAAAATTAGTCTCACTAAAGCCACTAAAGCCCAATGATATGACTTGCTTTGGTGGATGCTGATAAAAAGATGCTCATCGTGAGCGATCGGACCATCAGTCAGGCGCACGTGCAGTTTTAGCAGTTCGTCTATCTGAAAAAAAGGCTGTTTAATAGTCTATAGACAGACAAGGACATTCATTCAGTTCGTCATTATGAAATAGTTGTGTCTACTTTTTTCAAATAGTTAAATTTTCAAATGTCTACTATTTGACTCAACTTTAAATTTAATATCTAAATTACCTTCAAATAGTCCATGTAGTTTTCTCCAGGGTCCCTGGTCTCTTTGGTCTCCTTAAAACCTTGTCCAGCTGAGCTCTTTCTGTGAGGACATTTTCCCATTCTCTCCATAATGTTGCTGACTATCTTAAAGATTGAAGTCTCAAGTTAAAATTTCTTAATTTGATTTACTTAATTAAGTGTTACATGCTATGTTTAGTTGATGATATCAAGAAATTAAAAAATGCCAAATTACTAAGATCAGGGCCAGAGTTGGCGTTATTCAATATATATTAGGATGCAGTTAAACTATCGGACTACGATGAATGGGGACTTGCCAAATGCCGCCCCATGCCAACATTAACATAATATACGGATACCGACTCTGTTACATCGTTTCCTCAATAAATGTTATAGATTTGTAACGTTGTAATAAGTTTAATGCTAAACATAAATGCAGATATGCTAAAATATTCAAACTGTAAAATTATCTAAGCTATAATTAACTAAAATAGTAACAGAAATTCTTTAAAATTTATAAATATGCTATTGTGTGGGATAAATAGGCAAATATTCTGCAATTCAATATCAAATAATAATATTGGCAAGACCGCCAACAAATAACATTAATAAGGTAAGCGACGAGGTAACAATAAATTTTTAACTAAAATTGTTGTAAACCAAATTAAATAAGACTAAATTAACCGTCCACCAATTTACATTTTTGAGTTCGGAAATAATATCGTTGATTATGACTTCAAAGCTGCAAAAACATTAAAAAATTTGTGTGTAAATGTAATTAAAGTTGAAAAATCAGAATTTTAAAATTTAATTAAATAAGCATTAGTTTTAATACGGAAAATGATATAAATTAGTAAAATCATTAAAAAATGATTACTGGAAAACCAAATATTTTCGCGGTACTCATTTTTGCGGTATCAATTTTGGGTCCTAAAAAAATTAGCTGCATGGTCAGTTTATGATAAGGACAAAGTTCCTGGGGTACGAGGTCATGGGCAGGACGACACCTTAGAGTTAGATCTATGAAGTTGTTTTAAGTTTAGGGCCAAATGAACGCGTTAGCGTGGTGACCATTCATCAAGAGTGAAGAGAATGAGGTAAGATTCACCCCGCTCAAAAGAGAGGCTTCGGCTTTTGAAGTGAACCCTTCGTTAAAGTTCACAGCCGTGTTATGTTACGGTGCCACTCGAAGCCGGATTCTGACAGTTAAGTATGCCGTATGGGCAACGTCAGGACATCCACGCAGAGTATTGCAGCCACCCGAATTGATACCACTCAAACAGTTGCCCATATTGTATGGAGGGGGCCTAATTGTGAACTTAGACTTAGAAGCAAGTCAGATAATCTGACTTATATCTACTAGGGTGATCACCAGCTTAAAGTTAAACTTTATAATGCAAAGAGATAAGATGAAGAACAAATCAACCAGGCGTCAGCAGAAAATCAAACGGTTTCTTTTTTGACTGGACATAGTCAATTCAAACTTAGAGTTACCGCCAATGTCTAAACATCTTAGATATGAAGTTGTTCATTTTATTTTGCCTTTTATGCAGGTACCTAATTGATCCTTAGAAAAAATTTGTGTTCCTACTACGATCACGATTCTCAGTATTTCATATTTGCTGGGCTGAAGAAGACTGAAGAGATGCTTTAGTTTCAGTGAATTTGATTATCTTACTGAATTAAGATACCATTTGCGCGGAATAGCTTCCCATTTCCAAAATTACCAAACCCTACCAGATCACCCTTTCCTTTATATTTCCACCGTCTTTTTAAATACTGTCTCAGTATTGTCTTTAAAATAAACATTTTTTGCGGGGTTTTCCTGCAATTTCTAAATCAAAGTGGATTAATCTCTTCGTAATTCAATAACTGAGTCTCTATTTCATTTCAGATTCGATACAAATTCATGGAAGTGGATCCTTCCGACTTCCGAGGTCTGAGACTGGAAAAAAGGCATTCATGCATTCCACGGCGCTCCCACTAAATCGCTCGCCCAAATTTTAAGAAAATTCTTGTGAAAAGGCCCTGAAGGTATAAAAGTAATCTTGTTCTGTGTATTTTTAGACGCTGATTCCGAATCACCCCCATGACGTAAAAGATTAATTACCAATAGTTTGAGGACAAGAATACCAATCATACAATCCCCCCAAGTTCAAATTCGGAATTACGGCCCTGAACAAAGTTGACGTTTTTGTGCATTGTGTCATATTATATTTATAGTTTTTTACATTATTCTTTAAGTTTAAGTTAAAATTTAACTTTGCCTAGAAGTCAACTATGATTCATAGTTGACGTTTTGTGAGTTAAAAATAAAATTATGAATTTTTAGCCATTAGAAATCATCCTGCACTTAAGTATAGAAGCACTTTTAGGTAGTAGACACCCGTTGAATTATTTGACACCGTTGATTAAGCATCCCCGGCCGGCGAGAGAAGGGGTTGCAGCGTGTGTCAACGTGGTGTGCAAGTGTAACTGTGAACTGTTATAATACGACACGGGGCCGCACATGCTACTGCTACTGCTATAGTTGCTACAGCCGCGCAATTTGATAGATCAGTTAGTCCCCATGATCAGTCTTGGTTGCAACTTGCAGATCAGAGATCTGTGCAGTAAGCAGTTTGTCCCAATCACCAATGCAATGATCTTAATTATAATAACATAAACCCGCCACGCAAAGGGTTTATATAATAGATCATCCCGCGCTAGCGGGATGATCTGATAAACACATACGAGTGCGCGCAGCGCACGAGTTTTGTGTTAATATGTAATCCCGAAGCGCCAGCTGAGGGATTACATTTATTTAGCCCTGAGCGTGAAGTGTTTATGGATTATAATTATCTCCGGCGATTTCGACAAGGGATTTATACTTTAGAAGAATTAAATTTGTTTAGAGCCCAGTTGTTGACTCTAACTGTACTGTCCGGAACACGATTGGAAAGCAGTTCATCAATCTGAATGTCAAACCGATCTGTCATAGTGGAGCAATAGCTTGAACGTTAGCAGGAACAAGAGCTGGAAGGAGAGCAAGCAAAACAATACTATTTTTAGGGCACGGACAAGGGTAGCTGGCTAGTCGCCAACTTCTCACGCCACGCGTTGGAGAAATTCCAAGAATTAGCTGCTTTGGCAACGTTCCCAGGAATTTGCGTGTAAAAGAAGTGGACGGTTACGATGTTTCATATCACGTGGTGCGCTTTCGTGTCACGTGGTATAGACTCGGCGTATGCTATTGGTGGCACGTGGTACGCACGTGACGCGCCCACGTGATCGCGCGTCTAACTGTTCTACTATTATCGAGTTCTAATCAGCAGTATCATTGATTATTGTAAGTCGGAGAATTGAATGATAAACATCAGTTACGACTAAAAAGCGGGCCGGGTTTATACAAATTTCCGGGGCGGGATGATATCACCTTGAGATGTTTATCTAACAGCGGGCCGGGCTGAGTGATAATATGATCCCGCGTCGAAATCCCGGAGATATTTATAGATATCTGATATAAGTTATTATTTGTAGTAAACAACAAAGAAAATCTTTGACCAAAAATCTTGGGTGGATCATCCCCCCATCCCCCTCCCCCGCAAAGAATTGCTCCCGTTGTTTCGTTTTGGCGGACGTTATTAATATTAGCAAATGAATAACACTATTAGTATTATAGTAAATGAACAACTTGTCAAGCTGGATCGCAATCCTTTTAATAGATTAAAATTGAGAAAATTTAGTTCGTATATTTATGGCGGGTAATATTGTGGCGGGTAAAAATATTAATAATAGCGGGTCAAAATATGGTGGATTTTTCGAAAATCCGCCAAATTTAACCCGCCACTTTTTTACCTGTCATTGTTAATTTATTTTCACAAACAATTTTGAAAATCCACCGAATTCTACCTACCATTATATATTGCAAAATTCTACCCAATTTTTCTTCCAGACTGCGTAGTTGTTTGCAGTTTCAAAGTAAAATAACATTGATAAAATTAAAAGACTTTTTCCAGGAAAATCAGCGTATTGTAAATAGATGATTATTCGAATAAAACCACCTCGTTATCATTATTATCAGGGAGAGACAACATGAAATATTGGTAGGATTAATACATTTTGTTCTTTTCTTGTTATCCCTGCAAAATATTCCCAGAATCGATCAATTTGATTTTAGTTAGTCTATCCATGTCCACAATATTCTAGAGTTGCCAAGTCAGAATAATTGCCATTTATCAGAGCCCGCTAATTTTACTGCCTCTCAATATAGCCGAAATAATGTCGGTCTGCAGATGAACTAAACTGTGCAAATATAATATTTGCTGCAAAAACAAAGTATAATTTCAAGGGGTGCTGTAGATATAAGTATAACTGAACCCAGTAGCTCAAATTAAAAATACGATATTAAAACCTTATTATAATCTGGTCATATGTACTTTGCAGTTGTACTGAAGTACAACTACACTTAGCTAGAAAAGCCCTGAAATTAGTGTGTATGTGCTTGTGAGACCAGGCTAAGTGTTTACTAGGCGTCTGGTTGATGAACCCAGGGGGTTCGGGGGCAGGCCCCTCATCCACCGGAGGTACCCACCGATAGGTGAAGCCGGCTACTTTTGATGCTGAAACCCGCTTAAAACGGCATAGACATTTTAATTTTTGCAGCTTCTCTATTTAGGCAAATTTGCGTGTTTAAAGCTTATGAAATTAAGCATTCAACTATGTACAATACTAAAATAACTAAGTAAAGCAAAACTAGATACGGACTGTAAGTTTAACAAGCAAAATACTGAAAAGTAAAGAAAAGAGCCTCACCACTAATTCACTAAAGCAAACAATTTTCTTTTCTTCAGACATCAGGTGATCAGGTCGTACTTTTAGGGTGTCACCGGCCGGACGCCCTCACGAGCTGCCTTTGCAAATTTCATAGCAAATCTTTTTCCGGTGCATTAGGCGTCTCATATTCACATTGAGATTGAAACGGTAACATTCATAGAATAAAAAAGAAAATATAGCATAATCATACATCAATGTCATCAGATAGAATCCCATATTTTACAATAAAAATATTTAACGCAAGATTTAAATAACAATAATGGCTCAAATTTAAATGTATCATCAACTTTCAAGTCAAGAATCATCGTATCAAAAATTGCAAGGGGTCGACTTAGAAGATATAACAAAGTAAAAACAGGAATAATAAAAAAGCACTAATAAATCTCTAGATTATCATCTATGTCTGAGAGTCAGTCACTACAATTTATTATTGGGAATTTGCTAAATAAACTAGATTGAAGAGTTGTTTAAATAATGAATGACGTTTTAATTTTATAACTTTCCACTTATACATTACGCTTAATAATATCTTTATTTCTCATTCTTTGATCAACTGTATATTCGAGGTTTAATTTTTACACTTCTTTGCTTATAGTTATTTGGGTTATGTAGCACTTTTAAGCAAAGATCGCTTAGCACTATTCGAGGCATAAAAAGAAATTCAGATCGCTCAGAAACTGGAGTTGTTACCTACTCCATCCGACCATAACTACTCCGGTGTATCCTGTATCCTGTATCCTGTATTGGGTTCCCTACTCCATATCCATAGATCCGGCCAGGTGATGACGCTTGCTGATTGTATTCAGCTCGTACCAACGACTCCATTCCGCGGATTCGTCGTCACAGTCCCTGATAGGAGGCAACCAGGTTCCAAAACTTGAGCAGAAACTCTGTTGTTTTCGTCCGTTCTGACAAACCTATTAAATTATAATTTAAATTAATAAAACATACTTTAAATTATACGGTCAATCAATAAATATGGATATCTTTAACTATAACCGATGGGTAAAGAAACCAATATATCCAAATAAGCAGTTATCGACAGGTTACATTTATTTTCAACTGTAATAAGATATTCCTCAAATAAAAAATGAAATGATAGAAGCATGCTTGAGATGGTTGTATAATGTATATTGTATAATGTATTACTGATAGGATCGAAAGTAACAAATTACCAAGATAGCGTAGGTTCCAGGAGAAACTGTGTTCTTTTCAAGACCCATAGGCTCACTGACAAGGAAGTATCTGTCCAACTTGTTGTATGTATGTCCGTAGGTAGGCACTTCGCATTCGTCTGTAATATTAACGGTATTTGAAACTTGCAAGGATATTTCAGATACATTACTGATAAGTGAATGATCGATGAGTGCCATGAGAACCCGGGACGAAATCGGAATATGAAATTTCAATCTGACGTGAGAACTGAGATGCCCTCTGAAGGGCTGGCTCAGTTCCAACTATATAAAATCGAAACAGTGACCAATAAAGTGGGCAATCATATGAAAACGGAACAAATCAAAGTGAAATTAAGTTTCACCCACTATCCCTGATGCAAACACCAAGTTCTCCGTCATATTGGCCGTTCTCAAGGCACTGAACTTGGCTACTTCCCATCAGTTGGAATCCGGTGTCACACTCTATCCGAACCTCAGTTCCTGCGTGAGTTTCATGATGAGAACTTTCTTACGGCAAGTCTTATGACTGTCAATGTAACACCAACTTTTTGACTCAGTTAATCTATGCGGATATCTAAGTTCTACAATACACAATTAAATCACATTGAGTCAAGAGTCCTCATGTTTTTCTATTTTTAAAGAAACGGATAAGTTTTAGACGATGGAACGACGAAAGAATAAACTTTCTAATCAAAGTTCACGATTATTTCAGAGGGAATTTGTTCTCACCGGCTGTGATTACTCCACTTATATCAACACGTAAGTTGCCCTTCTGCTTTGAATATGCTTCTTCTATAGAAGGAAAACGACCGTTTCTGATCGATAGGGTCGGGCACTCTGTAACGAAATTTGGGGTTACAATAATCGAATAAAGTAATGTATTATCGAATCTGCAAGCGGGGTGTGCACTGTGCAGACTTGTATGAAACATAAATCAGTCCTTGTAATAGTCACTGACTAAAAATAGGTACCCTTGGCTCGAGTTGGCTTCAGATAAAGGGGGTTCCCTAAAATTCCATGGATTCGAAACCCGGAAGACTGGGTAAAATATTTTATTTCGACATAGAAAGTTCTATGACAGGGGCTTGTAACCTGAAAAGGTTTCTTTTCCGGATATACTGGCAGTTTATGTATTGATAATTTTCACTTACTTTGGTCATCGTCAGAACTGCAAGATCCGCAAGTCATGGAACACATCTCACTAACTTTTCCCTCCTCACAGAGACCCAGGTTCAGCCACTCTTCACACTTATCTGTCTTCACCAGATCAAAACATCTGGAAACTGAAAATGTTTTTACGTCTTACCATCGTCACCTTATTAACATCGTTATCATTTTTTAAAGATTTGAGAAGAAAATAGAAAAGCGCCGTGCTAATATAAAGCTCACTAGGCATAATCTTGCTCGCTAAAAGAAATATCACCTGCACAAAAGTTGCAGGTCCTCCTGCACTTCTCCCGCAATGCTGGTCTGTGTTTTTCAATTTCACAGAAGCCCTTTTTCTCCCATTTCTTGCAGCTTCTCGGGTAGAGATCAGTACAAGACTCGTCCGATACAACCAACACCACCAGGCATGCCAACCTGATGAGGAGAGATTTAGCTGGGCAGTATCGGGAGTTAGGGGTTAGCCGTCATATTATTAGGAATTGTGAGGTGATTAAACTAGGTAGAATTATAGGAATCAGAATTTCCAAGGAAAACCGGGTTTATTTCCAGTACAGAGAAAAATCTTTGTTTACTTAAAATCTGGAGCGTGACTGCGTGATGTGAACAATGATTGAACAATGTCGTCATTGGGCACAGAGCGGGTAAATACCATGTTTTTAAAAGTTATGAAAATATTATGATTCCAAGAATTGCAGGTTTAGTAGTAGACATGGAAATATATTTTTCTTCTTGCGGAAAGGGTGTTTTCGTCTGTTTTTGACAAGTGGCCAATAACTTTTCTAAAATTGGAATAATACTAATAGGGTTATTTCAAGTACCACAGAGAAAGATCTTTGTTTTCTTCAAATCTTGAGTGCGAGGTGATCATTGATTGAACAATGATTTCATTGGGTCCAGAGCGGATACATTCCATGGTTATAAAATTAATTGTAAAAATAGTAGGATTTCTAGAATTGCAGGTTAATTCAAGTAGACTGAAAGACATGGAAATCTAATTCTAATTTTTTTTAAATCTAATTTTCTTATTGCACAAAAGACGGTGTCTTTTATGTTTCACAAAAAAGGTCTTCCAAAAATTAAAATCCATAAATTAGCAATGACCAGATTGTCATGGAATTGGAAACCAATTTTTTGTCTACTGTTATTATGAATAGTCAAAGTATCGTGCGGGATCGTTGAGCTTAGAAGAAGCACGGAAATATTTACAGCGTATTTCTTGCCAAAATTTTGCTGGCCATGATCATGGATTAAATGCAAAATTCGATTTAGTTCGTTTTTCATTCCAGACACGACTCCTATATTTCAGCTACCTTTTGTCTCGGCTGATAACAATGCAAGAGAATCAAATTAAAGGAAAAAGACTAATTACGATTACCTGAATTTCAAAGTAGTACTGAATTTCAAAGTATTAATTACGATTAACTGAATTTCAAAGAATGAGCAGCATTTTACTTACAATGTGAGCGTGAACGCGTGGATACAGACCATCCCTAAAAATTGTATTAAGAACACGAGTAATACTGCGAATAAAGCTACAAATAGTATTAATACTACGAGTTAAAATGTCAAAAAGTACACTAAAACATTTTCTACTGTCAACTGCATGACATGACAAATTTATAACATTCCTAGGTATCAGGATCTGAATTGAACCTGTCGTTAGTGCTGGGGCGCTAGGTATCAATTGAAAACGATCTAAGACTGTAAGAGTTGGGACCAACTGAAACGGTAAATTACGAAGGGGTCAGGGCTAGGATGCCCTTTTGCAGTAGAACGACGGAAACGGAATTATTATCGATCAGTCATCCGAAGTCGTGGAATATCATGTTACCACTAGTCTATATCTATTAATTCAGCAATAAATCATGGTCGAAAGTGTGCAGAAAGGAAGGTATATTACAACATATCCCATCAGGCAAGAGAATGCCACTGACGTGACATAAGGTAAAGCATAGGTTTTTGGAGATTAAGGAAGGATTACATAATGGTCTGTTAATATAAGACAAAATCACCGAAACACGCAGAGAAATGTGATGCTGCAAATCACGGAGCATGCAAATGCTGTAATGCATATAACCACGTCACGAAATGATCCATGATCGGGCGTGTAAAATTGCGTCTTGTGCAGTGTGCAGATTCAGCAAACACAGCCAGTGCATATCGAGCTCTCTCTCTACGGGTAAAGGAATTAAACCGATTTATCTCCAAATTAGATTATATAGCAGTGATATTATTACAGCAGTTTAAGTTGCAAAATAGGGCAACGCAAGTTCCTTAGACTTTCACAGAGGGTTATCGTAGACGAATTGAATATCTAGATCCTAAAACAATCTATTTCCGTGATGGCAATGAAAGTGGAGGAGATTTGGTATCCGTGTACCCTAATTATTTAAATGCATTACCAGTAGAAAAAGAGCGTGAAAACTGATAAGAGTTGTGATCTAGGAGTAAAACTACCTGTTTTATATCCCACTTTAGGGATTCTGGACAAATTTAGTCGATGCATTCTTTTAGAAGCCATGAATAGCCTTCCTTGCGGCACGAACTTCACTTATATTGGCATAAAGATGTTTAATTGGTTCATAACACGGAAGACCTTCTTAGACTTGCTGAACATGTATGTGACCTATTAGATTCAACATTTTCGCTGGTAGCATTGTTCGGAGCTTTCCTCAATCAGTCTAATCATCTCACGACAATATATTCAGAACTCAAGTCAAAAAGCAAAGATTTCATCATTATTGTTTAGAAGATTGGTACGTGTTAAACGTGCAACATAGCCTAGATCCTCGTGTTAAAGGAAGTGATTAAATTAAAAACCTGGAACGAAGAAAATAGACTAATGGTTATATCAAAGTCCAGCATTTGCTTACTGCCTTACTGTTCAGTTATTCGACATTTGGTGTTTCGACATTACGAAGCCGTGTGCCTAATTTTATCTAAGCATCACCTCCAACCTCCGACTAAAGTTCCACCCTACTAATATTTCAGATTTTTCAAGTTTTTAATCATCATCCGCCTTATAATAATAGCATGTCGCTCACCTTTATTTATAAAAATACAGTCTTTTAAACAAACATAAATTACTGAATCTTTGAAGTTTATTAATAGTAGTTCTATAAATAAACTTTACGACACTGATGAATTGAAATGGACAAATCTGACTAATGTCTGATTAAGATCTAAAACAGGCCCCAATAAATTCTGTACGGTCTGAAGTATGAACACTGTAGACAAATAAGTCATTTGCGTTTATATTATTCACTATCGTGCACGCTGGTGATCAAAACTCTGCAACTATACTATTTTTTTCCACAATACACAGATAAATATAATCTTCTAACATACTAACATACTTCGTTGTAGTCACATCATTGTAAAGAAATCCGCTGCTAATAATACAGTAACACAGCATGAGAATAAGCCGGCCATGATAACCCATGATAACTTGCGAAATTATAACTAGGAAATCGTGAATCCCACGCTCGACTGATTACGAATTACTGATTCGTGAACAGTCTCTCACTGAAATTACTGAAGCAGTGATTCAAAAATTTTCGAACAGAAAAGTGATCTCTGGTGGGATGAAAACACGTACTACTGGTAGTAATTAAATTTGTTGTGGATTTGGTTACAAAGTATTTCAGTCCACAATCCTTAATTTCCTTCATTTATTGCTTCTCAATCACATGGTTATACGGGTTCCTGCTAGTAATTATAAAGCGAAACGATATATGTTTATCCGTGCCATTTTACTGACGGCATCAACTTTAACGCGACTTTCCGCAAAAACAGTATAATAATATTAATAATATATATATATAATATAAAATATACAAATCATGAAACTTTTTTGACTGGGTCAAATTCTTTAATGGCCTCCAAATCAGCATTTGGCCCAAAATTTGGACTCCCAAGTGGTGTCAATGACGCGAATTGAATAGGTAATAATTATTTTAGTCTCTTGAGTCTTGACACCATTTTATGTTTTAGGGTTATATGGGTTCCTGCTCATAGCTTATGGCTTTGACGGAGTTTCTTTCCACATTCCAGATAAAAATTAATTAGTTGAATATGGATGATGAGATACAATTGCAAATCAATATAAGCTGGACGTTTTATTCCCTGAAATAGGAATTACAAAATAGAAAATCATATTGTTTTATTATTGTTTCATTTTCAACTATTGAAGATGATATTTCCTGCACTGAAATTTCACAGATTTGGACGGAATAATTAATAATTGGTGATTCGATTCATGAATGTAATTTGATTGAATAGAATGGATGGTAATCAGTATATTCAGTATTTTGTAATATTTTACTGGGCGGTGTCCATTGTTAATGGACTAGCCCGACTCGCCCTGAAAAAATTGAAAATACTGCGGATGCTCATTGTAGGGGCTTTTACTAATTCGCTCGCCCAAAAATTTCACGTGACTTTGGTTTTTATGGTTTTGCAGCCGTACAAAACGGTTTTACATAAACCCTAATCCCAACCCTAACCCCGAAGCTAACCATAACCCTTACCACAACCCTAACCCTAACCCGAGCCCTTAACAATCGAATTCATGTTTTACTAGCCTGTCACGTGACCAAAACGGTTTTTGCCCATAACTCTCCGTGGAAGTTAAGCATTTTTACCCTACGTCATGTGGGGTGATTCGGAATCAGCGTCCAAAAATACACCGATTCAGATCAATTTCACACCCAAAGGGCCTTTTCACAAGAATTTTCTTAAAATTTGGGCGAGCGATTCAGTAGGAGCGCCCCCCATGACATAGGGTTAAAATGCTCCCTGACGAGATATAATTGGCGAAAAACTGTCTCGATCACGTGATATGACCGTTATATAAGGAAGTTAGTCTAATTTCTCGTTAGGGTTTCAGCATATGCTTTTGTTAAGGATTGGGTTAGGGTTAGGATCAGATTAGAGGGTACTTAGGGTTTCGAATTGCTCTAACCAGAGCCCTCTCGCTTGCAGTAGCGCGCGACCGCCGAAGGCGGCACAGGAGCACTAGCTCAAAGCTATTCAACTTGTGAAACAAGCGCGTCACGCAGTACGCGTAGACTCATGACTAGGTGAATGTCCCCAGGTAAAGCAATGACGATCTTAGAAGTTTTGCTTGTTTGTTGTTGCTTTAATTAAATTTATTATATCATATGAGCATATTATTCTTCAACTCTTTTTCAATGAAACAAGAAATTTTCAATAAACAATAAAATAATTCGCTTTATTATTTAGAGGATTTCGCCGCTTCTACGCGCCGCGAAAACTTTCATTCTTACTTCGCATCGTTGTTCTGTTAATTCACAAAGCAAGGATCTAGATTCTAAAAGGGTTGACATCGTCAATAAACTTTATTATGAGCTTTGCACTTGACCATTGTAAATGGTTTGGCCCGGCGCGCTACTTTGTAGCACTTGTTGTAGGTTTATAACCTACCAGGACGCGCGCCAAATGTTTTACGAGTATCACCCGTTAAAGCACTTGCCACATTTCGAGAAGAAAGCGGCGCGCGCTAATTCGAAGAAATTTAGACGAGTAACATCCGTCAAGCTTTGCACCCAATTTTGATACTTTCCTTTCTTCTCGTTTCTCGGATGTATAGTAAAGGACCAGGTTACTGCCACTGGGCTGCGATCGGCATGTCATTCCGCCGAATCTCTATGTTTACGAACATTATAGCCTGAGGTCCCCAGATAAAGGACCAGGTTGGTCGGATGTCCAAATGGCATCCTCATTAATCTCGGTCAATCTAATAAATGACTATCCAATACAACTGATATAAAGCTAGACTTGATATATGTCTGATTGATATGAATTGAATTGACAAATCCATCCTGGTGAGACAGGAGGGCACGACCCTTAGCAAGCATAGATGAAGCATATATGAAGGTGCCGCAGTCGGTTGTGTCCTGACTATTTTTGATATCATGAGATTCCTGATCCTTAATTTTTATTACTGTATTCAGTCTGCAGTCTTGGTGGTTGGCCCACTTAAAATTTTGGCATAGCCCCGTGTGGGCCCTGTAGGCTAATATTTTGTGGCTGGTTTTAAGCAGTGGAGGTCACATTTGTTTTATTCCAGGCTTTGAACTATGTATCTTCTTTGTTAAGTGGCACAATGTACGAGTTTTGTATATATTTGACTGATCGGTTTTGTTGTGCTGTTTATTATGTCCTGTACAGGTAATGACAAAATAAATGTTGATGATTTTGTGTGGGAGTATTTGTCGTGGCCCTCTTCACGACAGATGTTCCGCCTCAAACTTGAGCTTGGGTTGAGAACTTCTTCTTACTCGGCCCTGTGTATGTTCTGTTGGCGCTATGGTTATCTTCAAGAGACAGACCTTAGCCCCGGTCTGGCAAGGAGGACAAAGCAGAGAATCTTACCTTTCACAGAGTCGCTGGAAAGGGACGCCTGTGAAGTTTGAAACCCCTACGATAATGTAACTGTGTTTGTTATTATGGGGCTGCTTAATATATCTG